GCTTGTTCTAAGTAGGTGCTTTAGACCACTGAGCCATCTCACCAGCCCCTTGTGATGCTTTCTTAGTGCTTGAGCTGAAAAAACAAAAGCAAAAAAAAAAAAACCCTAGCGTTTATTGAGCACCAGATGTCTGCCAGGATCAACACTCATGTCTTACACCCATCGTGTGAAATTTATCCTTAGAACATTCCTATAAGGCTGGTAGAATTAGTAGCGCCACTGCACAGATCAGGGAACTGAGGCTGTGGAGCGCGACTCAGTCGCTGAATGTTCTAGCACCGGTACAGACTGTGTGGGCTCCCTGGTGGCTTCTGGCTTCTAAGGCTGCAGGCAGTGAATCTGCTTTGTGCCCAGAAGAAAAGCCCAAGGCTTGGATTGTCCAGCGTGGACTTCAGGCTCAGCACCCTTGGAAGCAAGAGAAGATGTGAGGAATGTGTGCAGCTGGCATTAGGAGGGCTGTGATGAGGCCGGGTGATGTGAAAAATCAGGGCACAGACAACATGACACTTTCAGAGCTCTTTGTTCAGTTGGACCCCAGACAGGAGAAGCACTGAAACCCCAGGGTATAGTTTTTGCTGAATTAAGCACTTGTTGGAGCTCACCTGTGGGAGGATTTTTATCTTGAATTTTGGGTAGCCCATGTCTTATTTGCACCCTTTCCACCTTATCCTCCTTTAAAATCGCAAGGGTTCTCTTTGTGTCATGGGTGTGGTGTTCACCCATCTTCTCTATACGAGGCTCCGTGCAGGCCCAGCACGCATGCAGAGACCCTCTGCCCCCACCCTGCCGTCCCGGACTGCGCGAGCAGGGAGCAGCAGGCGAGTCAGGCTGAGGTGCACCCGCTGCTGCCCGGAGCGAGGCCATAGCCCGCACAGCGCTTCCTAGTGGATCTTGGGTCCTGCAGATTCCACTTCGTAACCCACAAAACCTACTTGATTAGAGATTTGGGAATTTGAGGTATTAGTACAAGAGGTTTTTCAGCCTGGAATCTGCCTTCCTTTCCCTTCCATAATAATAAAGTGTTTCTCAGCTGGGTTCCATCAGTGCTGGCGCTGAGCCAGGCTGCTAGACTTAGCGATTGTGCAAGACTGGGCGTGGCCATGGAGAGGGGGCAGGGCAGGGCCAGGCCGGCCTTGCTGAGGGCTGCAGCTTTAGGGGTTGATTGAGTAACAACTGCACGCAAGCCTCCTGGGCTGCTTGAGCTCTGCTGATACACTTTCATCCAGGTTTTGCTGAGTCACTGAGGGAGATCTGGGGGCTGTTTGGCACCGTGCTTTGTCCTATTAGGTTACTCGTGTGTGTTACTCTCCGTGAAAAGGACCGTCTGTACCCAGGGAATGACAGGTCCTTGGTGGGGGTGGCAGGAGGGTGTGCAGCAGAGAGCGCATGGACGCGGAGAGAGAGCAGCTGCGTCTACACCTGTCCCGCTTCCTAGCTGTGTGAACAGGAGAAAGTCACTTCACCTCTCTGCGCCGCTGCTGACCAGGAGCATATGCTTTGTCTTTACTCCTTGCAGGGCTTGAAGAAGATCTCTGCCTACATGAAGTCCAACCGCTTCCTCCCAACACCTCTGTATACAAAGGTGGCCACCTGGGGCAACAAGTAGGGCTCTGGACGGGCAGAAGGAGGTAGCCAAGAGCTCATTCTCTTCTTGCTGCCCACGGCCCAGCCTGACTAGCCTGACTAGCCTGCCTGTTGGTGGCTGGGTCTGCTGTGAGGAACTGGGTTGGAACCCTCTCCTTGCAGCCTGGCACACCCTGGGGCCGACCCCAGGGTGCCTGGAAGACCAGTTTTGCCTGGTGGGCCCCCCTGTACCTTAGTGAGACCTCTGCCCCTGTCCCATGTGATCCACACTTGCTCTATTTTTGTCTCTGCGTCAGGCTGTCTGCACTGGACAGCTGGTGCTGCTCCTTCCAAGGGTGACCCTGGCTGTGGCTGGCTTCCCGAGGGAAGGGTTTTGAGAGTTCCTGCCACATTGTTGACCCCTTTAGGTTACGGAGCCCTGTGAGAGATTCTGTAGACAATAAAAGATCTCTTTCTGTACCTGGCGTCTCAGTTTGTAGCATCATTGAAGCTCACACCTGCCTTCTGGCTCCCCAAATTCCCAGCGGACTCACAGGCCCATGGAACTGGTTGGCACAGCAAGGCATGAATGGCAAATGGATCTTCATCAGTATTCACAGCTGTGTAGCACTTGAGTCACCCCAAGTCACCTCCACCCCCACCCTCTGGGCCCAGAAAGTTTGGGAGTCAAGGGGGCAGCACATCCACTGGGCTCCAGGATCCTGCCTCCTATTCTCAGCTTTCACGAGACCTCTCTTGGCTGGCTGTGAACCGGCTGTGGGGCTGTCATTCTTAGTTAAGCTCTTTCATGGGTACCTGTGAGATAAGTTTCTCCTATCCTTACGTTACTTAAAATGTATGTTCTTGTGTGTACAAGTTAATAGTATTGGTATATATGCTCTGGGTTGGAAGGAATTTAGGATGGGCAGGGTTGAGCCAAGGTCTGCAGTGTGGCCAAACCCTGCTCCTGTGCGCCCCACAGCTCCCAGAACTAGGAAGTCAGATTCACAGAGACCTGCTGGTGCATGCATGGCACCAGCCCCAGGCCAATGATCCTGGTTTACTGGGACATCTGTGGGGTGAGCTGAGAGCTCACCTGGCCAGTGGAAGAGGAAGGGTCCTAGGCATGCTGGGTAGGGCTGGCAGGTTCTCAGAGGTAAATCCTTGTTGGACTTGCTGGGATCCTCTGCCATCCCTCCAGGAGTTCATTCATGTGTGGCATATGGGGGCATTGTAAGGCCTAGACATGGGCAGTCAATTGGAGTAGATATGGTATCAGCAGGCTCTCTTTATCTCTGACCTCTGTCATGGGTCATCTGTCCCAGCTGGCCCATGTTACCTGCTTCCTCCTGCAGTGCACAGACACCAGCTACAAGTAGAAGAGATGCACAGCGATACACTGTGGGAAGTGGTTACCGGCCCTCCTGCTCAGATCCTTGCCAAATGCTGATGATTGGGGGGCCTGTCCCTAGCTCAGTCCTTTAAGTGGCTGCTTCCACAAAGCTGTCAGCCTCAGGTTCCTGGAGTTCGAACCTCACAACTCTCCCGCTGGCCAAAAGTGCCCTGAAGGCATTCGAGGAAGAAAACAAAACAAAACAAACCACCAACAAACCAACAAACAAACAAACAAAACAAATGCTGATGATTGATGCCTAGTAGGGCATGCCCTGGATGGCTATGGTGCACCTTGGAGGCCCTCTTCCAGCTACACCCCCAGCCTGGCCCTTCAAACACTTCTTTGGTGTGCACTTTGGCCCTACTGGGAGGGGACTGTGTACACTGAATCTATACTTGGGTTGGCATAGATACACCTTAGCACTTCCCTGGCTCCTTCATAAGCCCTGGTCCTGTTGGGCCCACAGTCCTTACTGGCACAGTTGGCCCTGCAGCCTTGGAATGTGAGACTCAGTGACCAAGATTCCAGATCCACCATCTCAGGGCTCTGGCTTCCTGACTCCGTGGAAGAGTAACGTGGGAAGGAGAGAGGGACTCAAGAGAGGTTTGCTCTTCACAGAGCTTCTGACTGTGAGCAGGCCAGTGGCTGAATGAGAAGTCCAGCTGGACTTTCCCAGGGGAAGCAGAGGGCATGGGGTAGTTTGGGGGAAATGAAGGCGATTCACCCTCAATTCATTTCCCATGTAGAAGTTTCCCATTCAGTGCTTCTCTTTCCTCATAGTCATGTGTCTGCCCTGTATTTCTGGGATAGTGGTATCCCAGTACATTCAGTCATTCTACATTACTGTGTGCAGTGCTAGCAATGAGTGGACGTGCTGAGTATGTCACATTTGATGTACCTCAGGGAAGGGATGCTGGAACCTAGAATCCCTCCTGATCTTCTCTAGCTGCCCATGCAGCTGCCCTACGTAATTGATGGGTCTCACAAGCTCACCCGGAGCAATGCCATCCCGTGCTACATTGCCTGCAAGCACAACCTGTGTGAGTAGAGCCAGCTGCCGGGTGTAGGGGGACATGATCCTCTCTGGGCATGGCTGGGATCAGAAGCTGAGGGTGAGTCTCTCTGATGTGGACTATAGGTGGGGAGACAAGAGGAGAAGATTCATGTGGACATTTTGGAGAACCAGGTTAAGGACAGCCACATGCAGCTGGCCACGCTGTGCTATAGCCCTGAGTTTGTGAATGCACCTGTGACCCGGGTTAGTGAGGCAGGGTTGAGTCAGGGGCCCAGCTCCTCTATGGCGTCGTTTGCCATGTGAACTCCTGTGTCACTTGCTGTGTGAACAGATCCTTCACTTACCAAGAGTGACTCTTCAGTCCCAAGGTCAGGTCAAATGAATGGAGTCAATTCTCATCCTTTATAGAGTATAAGCCATGTTCTTCTCCCCTGAAATATAGACTTTAACATTTGGGGTCAGATTCCCTTTGCTGTGATCACTGGCTTCTGCCATGGGTCTACTCTTCAGCTGGTTTAAAGAGTCACAGTCCTAGAACACAGACTCAACCTAGGAGAACACCCTGGGTTTGAAGGGCACCCTCCCCTTCAGATTTCTCCCAGCTGGTTCCCAGTGCTGTTTCCTCCACATGCACAGGCCTGGATGGTTCTTCCCAACAGGCTGTTCACATTCTGCTGAAGGTCTGTGTTTTTCTCTCTCCTTTTGCCCTCATAAACTTATTGCATGGTTTTAAAACGATGCAAAAGTCTAAGGCCTTCTCTGTCTCTCCATGAGGTATATCGCTGGACTGTTTTCCTGAGCATTTTTCATGTTGCTTTCTAAATTCCGAGTCCCATCTGAGCTCACCGCCTTGCTGGTGCCCACAGTGTTCCTAGGTCTGACTTGCAAGAGGTGGTTTAGACACTAGTGGTAACAGCTTGAGGAACAGTGCCACAATCCTGTGTGACTTCCAGTCACGGCTAACAGATGGTGTCTGGACCTAAGTAGAGGTCCAATAAACGATGAATGCAATGGAGGCTTGCACACTGCCATAGCCCCAATCTTGGTGAAGATGGCGGCTCACCCTGGCCAGCACGTGTCCTGCACAGCATTGAGTAACCTGACCTCTCTACAGGGAGTTTATGTCTGGGGGTGGCAACAGCTACTTCATCCTCATGAGGCTCGGAAGCCAAAACTCTGAAATGATGAAGCTCTTCTCACAGTTCCTGGGGGATGTGGCCACGGTCTGCAGGGCACATGGCAGGTTAGAGGGGAAGCTGTCCTTTGTCCTAGGTTGTGAGCCTTCCTGCCATCCAACCTCTGCCTTCTGCAGGTCACCTGTGTGCATTTCCTCGCGTACAGTAATCTTGATTAGCACCATATATTTCAGCTCCAGAGCCTGCATACATTTCCCAACCTGGATGATTGTATTTCTTGCTTGGAGCTAGCATTTTGCTCTTCCTGCTGTTGGGTGTACTTTCTTCTTTTCTTTTTTCCCTAGCCCTGGAGCCAAAATGAAAGAATATTTACAAGCACCAGCTTTGCATGCCAGAACCTGTTCCCACATCTTACACTGATTGCTTCCAGGTTATCATTGCCACATCTCACCAGGCCGATGGGATAAACAAACACATTGTGCTGATAAGGGAACTGACCTTGCACTCTCACTGACTGCTCTCAGGCCCTTTGTTCTGCTAGATCCTGCAGGTGTGAGCCCACCTATGAAAAGGAGAATGTTTGTGCACAGAGAGGCTGCCAGGGCCGCCTGTGGGCAGGTATGGGGGATGTTGGGGAGAGCACAGAGCCAGAGAGATGCAGGCAGGCTGCATGCGGCCCCGTCCCACTTCTTAGCTGTGCGGGCATGAAGAAGTGGCTTAGCCTCTCAGTACCTCAGGTTCTTTGCTGATAATTGCTATGCATGGAGGTGATCTTGCAGGATCGCTGAGCGCACTTTCTATATAGGTGCTTTAATCACACAGGGCGTAAAGCCTCCAGCAGGCGTCTGGTTTCCCTTAGTTAGAGGAAATGGGATAGTTCCCTCACTAGAGCTGGGGACCTCAGCAGCTGTGTGGAGCCTGTGTGGGAAGGCTCTTCCTAGAGCCTCAGCTCCTCCTGCCTGTGTCCCAAGCTTAGGGCCCAGAGAAGATCTCCACCTGTCTGTGGCCTCCTGAGTCCTGTGTTTGCAAAGGTGTCTCCAGACAATTAAGCCCCACTCTCGGGAATGGGGTCCTTGCTCCAGCCATGGCTGCCAAATGCTGGACACCATTTCTCCTCTGAATCCTGCTGATCTCTGAGCACCTAGATAATGACAGGGCTGCCATCTGCATACTGGGCAGGACAACCTGGACCCCACTTCACTACTTACCCTGGGTCAGCCCGTATCTACTTGTCTGACTCCAATGAAGTGTACTGTGTTAGAAGTTGGGGAATTGGAGACTTTAGTGAGATAGGGCTTCTAGCCAGGAATATGCTTTCCTTGCCCACTCTGTCCAGCTCCAGGCTCTCTCAGGTCCTTCTTATCAGCTCTATTTCTGGCCCAGGCAGAGTGGCCATGGTGATTGTGCCAGAGCTGACGTGACTGTTAGAGGAAAGGATGAGAAAGCTGTAGTGCAAGGTCACCTGGGCCTGGCTTGGTGGGCGCTGGCAGTGGCAGATCTCTCTAAACCTTTGAAATCATTGGCACACTCATTGTCCTGTAGGGATCCCTCAGTCTTTCAGTGTGATCTGTTGTACCAGGACAAACAGAGGCAGGAATGAGGAAAAGATAGACTAAAAGACAAGAGCTAGGTTAGGTGGTGGCACATCTGCCTGGTTGGAGACAGACCCCAGCATCACAATGGGGGTGTTTATTTATACCTTTGCAAAGTTAGTAGCGCGTGACACAAGGTTGCCTAGTGACTAATAGCTGACATTAACCAATCCGGATGCTTACCTCAGGACTGAGGTAGCTTGACTGTATTAGGCACTGAGGCCTAGTCCTGCTTTCACACATTTGACCAATTTCTAGCTTCCATGGCTCCCAACAGGTCCTGGTGTGGGTACTCCTCAGGGTCATGGGCCCCAGGGGTGGAGATGAAGTAGTCTGAGGTGCAATGATATTGAATTCAGGTACTGTTATGTCTCTTAAGGGTAAACTTTATTTATCTGGGAACCGTAAACTTCTATAAATATAATGTTAGAGGTCTAATTTTAAAAGGAGTAACAAAATCACTTCACTGAAGACAGAAGGAAATGAGAAGATAGAGAGCTACTATGTTGGAGTAAGGCTGTAAGCCCAGAGCCTATGCTCAGGGCTTTGGTTTTTAGCCCCTTTTAGTCCATGCTAAGAAAGGATTGTTATGACTTAGTTGGCTGTTTTAGGCTCTGGGACTCCGAAGTGGCCACTGACCTTGTTTATTACCTGCGTGAAAATTCTTGGGCAAAATCCTTTCGTCCTTCTTTATTCTGCTAAGGTGCTATCTCTGAATTTATGATGGGCCATACATACAAGGCTGAATTAGCATGTAGTAAAGGGATCCATGTATGCATTAGTGCATTAACATATATATATATATTTATATGTTAATATAAAAGGTGTGAGTATATATTCTACCCACTAAAGAGTTTCCATGCCATAGCCTGCTCCCCACTTGTCTCTTTGTACTTAACTAGAGGTGGAGAGATGAGAATTGGGGCCTGGGTACCAAGTGGGTGGGACCAGGCGGCTTACCAGTTCTCCCTACTTCTTTTTCTACCTTTCTCTAGCAAAGGTTCGAACTCTTTCTAGACAGGATTTGCCAGAGACCTCAGGAAGGGCCTTACCTTTCCCTGACTGTCCCGCAACTTTGCCTACAGTACCCCTTAGGGAAACGTAGACCATTGGCTTTTGGGGGTCTGATGAGAACCCTGCTCAGCCTTTCTCTGTGGGCCTGCCCGTGCCCTGATCCTTTAATCCGGGATTTGCTTACTCACTGGGCATGACTGGACTCTTTCAACCTGTACTGGCCTATTCCAGGTCTTTGGGTTAGATCCCTTCTGTATGCAAATATAGGCGTGGAGAAACTTCCCTCTTTAAAGAACATCTGTGCAGAGAGGGTGTGAAGGGGCCTCCCTTGGAGAGCAGAAGGCAAGCCAGCATGAGGAGTGCAGACTTGGGGAGGCAGAGCGGGGGCTGCGCCGCCCTTGTCTCATTCACTAGCTTTGGCAGCTGGAGAAAGTCATTTGACCTCCTGTATCTTAACTTCCCTCTCAATAACAGGTGAGCACAGAACCAGTATCCCAGGGCTTTTGCAGGAATTTTCCAAGCCTCCATTAAACTTTCTAGGGCCAGGGAGATGGATTAGTAGAACAAGCGCTTTCTTGGCAAACGCAAAGGCAATCACTGGTTCTGCCCCCCCCCCAAAACAAAACAAAACAAAACAAAAAAAAACCCTTTCTAGATCACATGGTACAAAGTATAAGGTCTCCTACCCAGTCACGCTTATAAGGCCCACATTGGTTAAAGGAACCAGTGCTGGAACCTGAGCAGGCTGTGTCATGCTGACCCATGGAGTCCATGGGACAAGATTGGTACCTGGAGGAGAGATTTTCAGGCACCAAAGGAGCTGCATACCCAGCCCTCCTGCAGTCCGTCGCCCACTGGCAGAACATGATCTGTAATTACCTGAAGTCCACGTGTTTTCTCCCAAGACTTGTGCCCGCACCACTGGCCGTGTGGAGCATCCAGTGGGCTGTTGTAAGGGTAGGACACTATAGTCAGGAAGCAGGACTCTCTATTGCCGAGGAGCTGGAGAATACCCAGGCTTCTGCTGTGCTGGAATGAGCCTGCATACTTCCTTCTTTCCTTATCCTTCTCATACGTAAGGTCTTTGTAGTCTTTATTGTTTCCTGCATAAGGCATTTCTCAGTCATACTATTAAAAGTCTTAGCCTCGTCCTAAAAAGAGCACAGTCCCCTTCCTGTCATGGCTGTGTCCTGTGTGAAAGCCGAGCTGCTAATCCTGACCATCAGTGCTTGTGTCTTTGAGGAGCAGGCCTGGATCTCTCTCTGTGTAGCCCAGCTCCATGGGCCTAGCACCAGCGTAACTGCATGCAGCCCTGGGCCCAGTGAGGTCCAGTTTCAGCCCTGTCTGACTGCAGCTAAGCCCAAACCACACTTGCTCTGTTGTATCCTGCCTCCTATTTTAGACCAGTGGATGGAGACTTTCATTTTTAAAAATTAATTAATTAATTAGTTTATTTATTTATTTGGGACAGGGTCTCCTATGCAGTTCCAACTTGTAGTGATCCTCCTGTCTCAGCCTCCCAGTGCTGGGATTACAGGGGTGAACCACCACGCCTGGTTTCAGTTGCTGGCATGGCATGCCCAAGGTTCCAGGGCTGGGAAACATGTGGTACCGGGGATCGAACCTGGGTCCTTGTGCTTGCCAGACAGGTGCTTAGACTGCTGAGCTATCTCCCCAGCCCTTCATTTTTTTCATAGTAAAGTAAAAGCATGTTTAAGAATTAATAATTCAGAATGCTTCTCATACAGAGAAGATGAAATCTTTTTGTTGAAACTTTTATTTCAACTAGTCATCTATGAAGACATGTTCTGGAACGTGCGGTATTTCTTATCTTTCCAAGGTGTTGTTTTCATACAGTGAGAGCCTGAAGAAATGTGCAGAATGAGTTCGAGGCTCTTCTAGGTTCCCCACTGTGTGCTCACTGCTGTGTTCCTCCACCTCCCCCGCCCCCCCGACTCTCCACAGCTGCTGTGCGTGAGCACAAAGCTGCTGCCCTAGAGAACCTCCAAAAAACACTGGCCAATGTTGTACACATCTCTTCATGTTGCAACAAATTTCTGTTTTGAAGAAAGTGGACAGATAAGATAGTATTACTGATAAGATATCTTGGGCCGCTTGTACCACAGGTTCAATATGACACTGTGATTTCGTAGGACACTTGAGTTCGTGTCTAACATCCAGGTCAAATATGGGTCAGGAACTGGGGTCAGGTTAGAATCCAGGGACTTGGGCAGCTGGAGGGCTTGGCCTGGCCTGGCTGTGGTGCTGTGTGGAGTCCTTCGAGGGTCCCCTCTGGACACTCTTGCTTGCCTTGGAACCAGGAGAGGTGTCCGGTCCCTTGGAGCCCCGATCTCCACCCTAGCTCACATGCCAGCTGTGCCCACTGTACCCCGAGCCCTGAGCTGGTCAGCAGGGCAGTCTCTAGCTGGCTGGCAGGACATCACAGTGGGAGTATACTGCAGAGGGACATCTTTGTCACCCTGCCTGCTACTCTATCATGTTCTTGCATTTGGATTCACAAATAGGGTAACTTAAACCAGTTAACTGAAGTGCCCAGTTTCTCCAGTTCCCTAAAGGAAAGCTAGGAGACCACAGAGTCTCAGAGTCTCTAGCCCTTGTCCTGGGGCCATGCCCACCTCACTGACTCTGTTCCTGGGTGGGGAGCCCTCATGCCTTATAAGGAAGGCATCAAAGAACCTTTGGATTTGCAAGTGTTCTTTTCTTTTCTTTTCTTTTCTTTTCTTTTCTTTTCTTTTCTTTTCTTTTCTTTTCTTTTCTTTCTTTTTTCTTTTTGGCAAGTGTTCTTTTCTTCCAGTGGTGGCGCTGAATTAAAATCTCAGGCGGGGACTCCCCTTTATGGCTTGACGCAGGTGGCCTGTACCTCCCAGGGCCCATGCCACTGAGCTTGTGAGGAGAAGGGAGAGGTTAGATTTGTTTTTGCAGTCTGGCAGCCGTCTTGGCCACCCCGCCCTTCCTCGGGACGCAGGACAAGCAGTTCTGAGGGAGAAACGGAATGAGCCCGCGTTGGGCTTCTGAGCTTCCAGATCTCGCTTCTAGCACAGCCTTCCAGCTTGGGCTCTCACCCCAGGGCTGAGGGCAGCACCGCCCACGAGTTAGCGGCCATCCTGGTGGGCGGGGGAAGAGGGGAAGAGGGGAAGAGGCGAGGGTAGGGAGGAAGCCAGCGCTAGGCCCCGCCCCGGCCTGCCCTGCTAGCGAGATAAGACCCCCTTCTGAGCTCCCGAAGCCTGTCTGCCCAGCGCAGGGAACCAGCACCATGCCCATGATCCTGGGTTACTGGAATGTCCGCGGAGTGAGTGCGGTGTCCGCCTGATGGGTGGGAGGAGGGCCCAGGCCCGGGGCGTGAGGAGCAGCCGGCAAGGAGCGTTGCGTCGTGAGGGTTCTCCGGGTCTCTCTGCCGGTGCCTTTTCAGCGCTCAGGGTCTCCTTACCTCTGAGCACCGGTGTGCCCGTGTGTGCATCTGCGCGTGTGCACGATAGGTGGTGCTCCTGGACTTGGACTTGGCCGGAGCTGGGCACCTCCCAGGGTCCATGGCCTGCCTCTGACGTGTGCCTCTCTGTCGCTCCCAGCTAACGCATCCCATCCGCCTGATGCTGGAATACACAGACTCCAGCTATGAGGAGAAGAGATACAGCATGGGGGACGGTAATGGCGTGCCCCTGCCCCTACTCCCAGGCAGTGCTGCTGACAGGCACCTAGCAGTCTATGCCCTGACCACCTGTGGCTCATGTGGGCAACTTTCTTGTGGCTACACCAGGAGCCAACCCCTTCCAGAAACCTTAATGAGGGTGAAGTTTGGCCCTAGACACAGGATGCTGGGGTGGAGCTCTGGGTCCTTCTCAGTGAGGGTTGGGCTGCTCACTGGAGCTTGTGGAAATATTTTGAAGATGTTAATCAGATAGGATCCTCAGGCCTTAGCCCTGATCTCCCCTCCAGGCTGCTGGCATGAAATGTGAGACTGCTGGCTCAGAATTCAGGTCCACTGCAGGAGGTCTTGCCCCTGACTCCTTGGGAGGCAGGTCCCAGGGAGCAGGGTGGACCACAGCAATTTTATTCCCTTCATCTTTTCCACCGTAGCTCCCGACTATGACAGAAGCCAGTGGCTGAATGAGAAGTTTAAGCTGGGCCTGGACTTTCCCAATGTAGGTGATGGTGGGGTGAGGGCTGGGAATAGTAAAGTCTTCCACATCTCACTCATCCCAGTAGAAGTGGGCTGGGATCAGATCTCCTGTGGCGCCCTTCTCTTGCCTGGTTGTGCACGCTGTCTTCCTACCCTCCTCCTTCACTTTTTCTGCCGTGCATTCCCGTAGGCTGATCCTGGCAAGCACCCTGAGGGCCAGGTCTTAGGAGAGCCCTAAGTCACGGAAGGGGTGCTGGGACCTAGAATCCCACCTGCCCTTCCTGCTTGTCCATGCAGCTGCCCTACCTCATTGATGGGACTCACAAGCTCACCCAGAGCAACGCCATCCTGCGCTACATCGCCCGCAAGCACAACCTGTGTGAGTAGGCCTGGCTCTAGGGATGGACGGTGGTCATGCACCTGCGCTTGGCGGGGGTGGGACGCTGAGTGTGGGTGTGCTTTATGGACTTCAGGTGGGGAGACAGAAGAGGAAAGGATCCGCGTGGACATTCTGGAGAACCAGGTTATGGATACCCGCATGCAGTTCATCATGCTCTGCTACAGTCCTGATTTTGTGAGTCCTCCCCCCCCCCCCCCCCCCCGTGCCCTTGGGTCTGGAGGAGACAGGATTTGAAACAGGAGTGAAACTTGTGTTCACATCCCCCCTGGGCTTATATGACATCTGTACTGTGTAAATGTGTACTTGTTCTCCAAGGTTCCCTCTCCTACCATTAAGCTGACCCTTATGACCTCAATCTGTGGTCCACTAAATACCCTGAAGGACTTCCCACTAGTTTTGTGATACAGATTTGGTGCCCTAGAGTGGATATTCTATCCTTGATGAGTGTAGACTGTAAAATTCCTTTCATCTTTCTGTCTTTTAACATCTGCCATCTGCTGTCTTGATTTACACACACCATGGCCACCTCTGGAATACAGGGACCCTAACTCTGAGAGAAAGAAGGACAGCATGAGGGAACAGCAAGCAGCCCGCTCTTCAGTTTTCTGCCAATCTGTTGACGCCACCATGATGAGAACATTTTCCTAAAAGGCAGCTTAGGGTCGCCCAGAAGACATCTGTCCATCTTTTGCCTCTTTCTTCCTCTTTCCTTACTGGGTATTGAACCAGGGCATTGGACAGCAATGCCTCTGTTCACATACGCTTCTGTTTGCAAACAATTCAGTTTGCAAAAGAAAGGGTTCTGTACAATTTTGCTGCTGTTTGCATCAGGTGACAAACATGACCTCAGCCATCTTCCACAGAATTGTTACCCAAATTAATTTTTCAAAGCGATCTATCACTGCAGCTGATAGACGAGTGCTATGGAGCTACATCGCTGCCCTTTACACTTTTTTTTTGTTTGTTTGTTTAATTTTGAGACTGAATCTTGCTGAGTAGCTCATGCTGTCCTTGAACTTGCAATCTTTTTCACTTCCCCTGCAGCTGGGATTATAACCATGGGCCACCAGACCCAGGTTCCCTCCTTTCAACGCCAAGAGCCCTTGGCCTTGTTTGTGCTGCTTTAAGGTCCATCCTGTTCTTGCGCCCTCTCCTTAGGTACACCAAAAGGTCTCTTGTCTCTTTGGATCATTTACTCTTTACTTCTTTGGCTTCACTGACCTGAATCTCAAGGCTGCCAAGTACTTAGGCCCTCCTGGGTCTGACCCACAGAAGCTGGTCTGGACAGCAGTGGTGACAGAGTCAGGGACAGAGTGGTCTTCTGGTATGATTTCCCATCACTCTGATGATGGAGTCTCTTGCTAAGTGGGGCCTAATATGCAGTGAGGCGTTCATGGAGGCTGTGATGCTGCTCCAGGCCCCGCCTCAGGGAAAAAGGCTGCTTAACCCTGGCCAGCAAGGTTCTGCACAGCCCTTGCTAGTCTGAGCTCTCAGTAAACAAGCTTGTGTCTTCCGATCGTGGTGACCCCCAATTTCTTCCCCAGGAGCAGAAGAAGCTGGAGTTCTTGGAGGGCCTCCCGGACAAGATGAAGCTCTTCTCCCAGTTCCTGGGGAAGCTGCCTTGGTTTGCAGGGAACAAGGTAAAGGAGAGGGAGGTGGGGAAGGGAAGTTGTCATTTTCCTGGGTTCTGAGCTTCCAGCCCACTCATCATCTATCTCTGCAGATCACTTTTGTGGATTTCCTGGCTTATGATATCCTGGACCAGCTCCGAATGTTTGATCCCAAGTGCCTGGAGGCGTTCCCTAACCTGAAAGACTTCATGTCCCGCTTTGAGGTGATGCTCCTGTGGCCAGCTCAGCCCACCAGGGGGCGGGGCTGGCTGGCATGTGGTGCTGGGGGATTGAACTGTGGTCCCTGTGCTTTGCTAAGCTTGTTCTAAGTAGGTGCTTTAGACCACTGAGCCATCTCACCAGCCCGACCCTGCTCATTCTTGAGTGTCCTGTTCTCCTTGCTCCTTTCCCCGATTCCTTTCTGGCTGCATCTGACCTCAGGAGTCACTCACAAGTGCTGAGCACTGGTTTTCATGCCAGACCCTGTGCTTGGCATTGTACACCCGTTGTGTCCAATTAGTCATTGCAACAACCTGCAATGCTGACGGAATTACCAGCCCCCCCCCCCCCCCAGACGAGGGAACTGAAATGAGAGGATAAGTCATTTCTCCAAGGTCCCAGGGCCAATGGAGGCTCTGTGTGGGTCTTTGTTAAACTCAGGATTCGAAGGGAACAGTGGTGGCCCTTGTGTTGTTTTTGCCCCACAAAAGCCCACGTCCATGTCCAGCCTGGGTTTCCAGCCCCGTACCCCGCTAGGAGGGACAGCATGTGAAAACATGGGAGCAGTGTACCCCGAGAGCACTGGGACAAGGCTGGATGTGCAGCAGTAGGAGACACAGACATCCTGCCTGCTCCGCTCAGCACTTTGCTCAGAGAGATTCCCAGTGGGGAAGTACTGAGACCTTGTGGTTGTAGTTGGTGCTGGACTGAACACACACACGGGCTCCCCTGCAGGGTGATTTTGTCTCGAGTTGTTCTTTGTTAGGGGTCCCGTTTCCGTCCTTTTATCCTGCCTTTTTTCTTCAATATCTCAAGTGTTCTTTCTGTACCATGGGGTCACACTCTCATCTTCACTGATGTTTCCTACACCCTGCTCTATGTAAGCTTGATGTGAAGCCAGGGGCATGTGCAGAAAAGACGCTCTCCTCAGCCCGTCCACAGATTGAGTTTAAGAGCGAAGGGCAGACATTCCAGAAGTGAGGTGCATGCAGCCCATTGCAGGTGCTGTGGAGCTCGGCTTTCCCCTCGCCTGGGGTCCTGCAGACTCCTCTTGTTTGTCAATGAAGTCTGTTTTATTAGAGACTTGGGCATTGGAAGGCAGCTATGCTTACCACTATACCGCCAATGCCGAGACTTAGGAGTTGGAGCCTTTGATGCAGTGGGTATCTAGGCTTGAAATGTGCTTGTTTCATACTTGCCAACAAGTAAGTCATGTGTTTTCTTAGCTAGTTCCGGTGAGCTCTGATTTTCATCCCAGTTGAGTGGCCTTGGGCATGGTGGGAGAGCTGGTGTGAGTGTGTGTGTGTGGCGGGGGGGGGGGGGGGCAGCTGCAGGGACAGAGTTGAGCATTGACCTTGAGCTTTAGTCCTGCTGGGCCTGGCTGGATTTCTATGAATGCTTCGCAGTTGGTTAGGAAGTCACCCTACTAGTAGGAGGGCACGCAGTACAGCCACGGTCATGGCGTTGCGCCAGTAGCAGGATGGAGTACTTGCTTGGGCAGCACCTATAACAATAGCAAGCTGGAGAAGGGGTAGTTGGGCAAGTCAATGACTTTTGCTCTAGATTGGGACCTTGCCCAACCACTCTTTTTGGGTCCTGCTCTCCTGTTTCCTTTCATCCACAAATAGCTGACTCACTGAGTGGGACTGGCTTTCTTACCATTGGCACTCAATTCTTTAAACCCTGTGGTCATGCTAGATTGCCACCTCTGTGTGCAAAAACAGGTAGGAAAGAACTTCCTTGTGCGAAAGGAGAGTATTTGTGCAGAGGGAAAGACAGGGCATCCTGTGGGTGAGGAGGAGAGAGCGCAGCAGAGAGAGCAGAGAGCTGGGAAGACAGCCAGGTCGCATCTAGCCCTGTCCCCCTTAGTAGTGGTGTAAGCGTGAGGACATTGCTGGACTGCTCTGTGCCTCATGTTTCCTCCCGAAATAGGATGAAAGTAGGGCTGATCTTGCAGGGTTGTTGAGAGGATTTTTCACAAACTGTACTGTAATTTCTGTGGCTCTAAAGCACACCACGCAGTGTTCAACCTCCCCATAGTGACAGGAGATTGAAGAGTTCCCTCACCAGAGCTGGGGAGCTCAGCGCCCTGTGTGCGTCTCCAGCACCTAAGTCCATGTGGAAAAGCTGTCTCTGGCGTGGGGCTGCATTTCGTGGGGCAGCAGACCTGAGCTCCTGCTTTCTCTTTCCCATGCCCAGGGCTTGGAGAAGATCTCTGGCTACATGAAGTCCAGCCGCTTCCTTCCAAAACCTATATTTGCAAAGATGGCCCATTGGAGCAACAAGTAGGATCCTGCGATGCCTGGATGACAGCAGGCTCCACCGTGCCCCTCCGCCTCTCCCCTGCAGCGCAGCTGGCTCCCACATCCATGCACTGCTTCTCTGATTCCTCTCTTCTTTCTACTCCCTGCTCCTCTTTGGGGCCTCATCAGCTCCCTTTCTCCCACCGAGTCCCTTCCCTAATCAAGCCTCTTAAGTGTCACCTTCCCACTTTTCTTTATGGAAGTCCCTTTCTCTCCTTGTGCCTGGTCTGAAACTAACCAGACAGTCCTTAGTTCTGATTGGAGGAGGCTGCCTGAGTCCCTCCTCCGCCTGCCTGGCCTGTAACCTGGTGTGCAGACCTGCTCCCTGCTGTGCTGGGTGCCCCAGCTCTGTGTGACCCTCAATAAAGCCTGGAAACCAACTGCTCTGATGTTTTTCTTACTCCCATCGGCTCCCTGCACTCACCAGCTGTCCCTGCTACTTAGAAGGAATTGTCCTCCAGCTTCAATGGTGGTGGGTTCGCAGGGTAGGTAGGATTTTGAGATTTTGTTTCCAATTCTGTTATCAGTGGAGCGCAAAAGCCCAGGAGGTTCTGTGGATAGCAAAGGCACCCTGTTCTGAGCCTGCACCTCCCTTTTCCTTCTGCAGCATTCCTGAGGAGGGTCAAGGGTGAAGAGAGTACCCGTCAGTCACAGAGCCTACGGAGGCAGCCTGTGCACTTCCGCCCCACCTGCAGAGCATGTGGCTCTCTGACATACTCCACATGCAGTGAGCTCTGCCTCGTTGGATAATTTGCATAATCTCTGTCCAACTATCTCAAGTGCTCAGTCCACCCCTGCTCTACTCTGTACTCTGGGGAGTTAATACCTTTGTGAAATTTGGTAAAGATGAGTTCACATCATGTAATTCCAAGTGCTACACAGTTCCCCAGATTTTCTTCCTTTCCTGCATGTCAACTTGCCCTCTAATTCTTTTTTGGACCTTTAATTTTTTAATCTATTTCATTTCTAAGTTCCACCCAACTGTTTTTGTATATCAGTCCTGCTTTGCAAAATCCTATAAATAAGATGGACTTCTACTGTAAAGGACAGTGTCCTGATAGGATAGTGGCCTTCTGAATGGTATACAATAGGTTACAGGGAACAGGATGACTTCAAAAGCCATTTGAGCCACCCCCTCATACCAAGAGCACAAGTGAATCGGGCTGAACCAGGCAGGAATCCAGAGGCGGGGCCCTCTTAGGGTCTTATCCTGGTCTCAGGCAGGCCAGACTGTGGTCGTGTATAGAGTCCTCTCCCATCCATTCTTTCCCCTCCTGCCTTGCTTGGAAGTAGGTGACATGTCTGGCCCTTTGTACCTCCATCTTCCACGTGGCTCACATCCTAGCTGTGACCACTGTACTCACAGTCCCCGGGGCTGGTTGGCAGGGTTCTCTAGCTACATTCTAGCAACTGTGGGGGCAGCACAACAGATACCCCAGTCCCATAGTGTTTGTTGTTGGATTTGGATTAGTAACGGGGGTTCTAGGAGAAAGGCCCTGGCGCGGGACGTTCCAGCACAGGTGCTGACCCACCCAATCCAAAAGATGCACCACGATGCAGGGCAGCAAAGAGCTTTAATCAGTGCTGCTTTGCCACTCAGCAGGACAGGTACAGAGGACCAAGGTCTGTCTTTGCAAAGATTGACAGAAACTGTGAGTGTTTAGATAAGGAGACCAAAGGCAAGAGTTGCAATCTGCAGGGCTGTGGGTTTGCAAAGCTGGCAGAGTGGTCAGCATTGGTGGGCCAAGTGCTCTGGTTGATCATTATCCCAGGACAGGTTCTGCAGGCTTTCTGATTAGGACCCACAGGGCCAGCCTTGTTCCCACCAGGTGACTGATCCTCCTCGTGTCAGGGTTGGGCTCAGCCTCCACTCAGGGCTGGAGTGACTGCCTGCTCCTGGAGGGCGGTGATCTCCTGGAGTGCTGGGTGTGGGAGGCGGAGCTCCTGCTGGGATCCAGGGACTGCAAGGCCAGAAGAATGACTGGAGTCCTGCCCCAACGTGTCACCAATCCTGGACACCGAATGTCCCTGCAAATCATGCAAAAACTTCTTCTTATCTTGGTATCCTCAGTCAAGAAGGAAGGGTGAAAAAGGAATCCTATATTAAGGGTTTCCAGAAACCCACCCCTTACGTAATTAATCTGTCTTTGGGGAAGACTGAGCAAGAAACAGATACAAAAACTTTGAAGCAGTAACAGAGCAAGATATGAAATGCAGGCAGAGATGTCAAGCTGGATCTGGCCTTCAGTTACCAATGGTGCCTCTGCTGGCCCTACCTGTAAGTCTCTGTTACAGAGTCCCACAAAAAAGAAAAAAAGACTAATAGGCTGATTTGCATAATTGTTATTCAGCTATCTGAAGTGCTCAGTGTCTCAAACACCTTACAGAAAACATGGAGAACCTGTGTGCCCTCGTGGTGGTGCAGGGAGCCTGGAGACCTCCTAGAGCTGGCCCAAGGTGTCTGGATCCGGGCTTCACAAATGCCGGACACTGAATGTCCCTGCACATCATAGTAGCACTTCCTCCTATCTTGGTATCCTCAGTCAGGAAGGAAGGGTGAAAAAGGTTAGATAAGTTTAAGGCCAATAAATCCTGACACTTGTTTCTGTGGACGTGAGGCTATTGTGGGTCACATAGTATCACAGTAGTGGATCCTCTTGTTCTAGGGACAACATGGAATTAAACTCTCTGATCGGGGTACCCCTTCTTGGTTTGGCCCTGGCCTCCTAGAACCTGCAGGACTTTGGTACCTAAGGGGTGAAGATTGAGAGATGCAGAGAGAAGGGGGAGAACAGCTTTGCTCTTTTGCAGTCTGGGCCAGTCGCCACAAGCAAGGTCAGCTTCCGGTACTCAGAAGGATGGGGGTGGGAGGCTGCTCCCAGCAGGCTCTGAGGCCCAACAGGAGAGCCCTGCCTTTGGATTCTGGGCACCCAGACCTGAATTCTGGGACCTCAGGCCCCAGCTTGCTTTAGATCTTACTCTGGTCTGTCTTTAAATCAGAGATCCCTCAGCTGGGTGCCCAGGGTTGGCTGGATTCCTGGTGGGTGGGGCTTGGTGGGGCAGCATGTGTGGCTCATAAGGAGCTCAGAAGGCAGGCCCGCCCTGCTGCTTTCTGTCTGCAGTCAGAGTTAGGAGGTCAGCTGCCAGGATCCCTACCGAGGGCCATAGCACCGACACCATGTCCATGACGCTGGGTTATTGGGATATCCGTGGGGTGAGCTAGGGTCCTCTCGTAGCTGAGAGGAGGATTGGGTGGACACGAACTGTGGGTGGGCATTGTGGGACATGGGTCCTCGTTCAGGAGGTGCTGGAGCCTTCTGCTTGTTAGACACAGGGGACCTCTGTGTGTGTGTGTGTGTGTGTGTGTGTGTGTGTGTGTGTGTGTATGAAGAAGACTGGGGGCTGAACTGGAGAAGCTGGGATCTCATACTCAGGCATAGTCAGGTCCCTCCACCTCTGACTTCTGCCATTGGCGATCTCCCCAGCTGGCCCACGCCATCCGCCTGCTCCTGGAATACACAGACACCAGCTACGAGGAGAAGAGATACAGCATTGGGGACGGTAATGGCTTCCTCCTGCCC